AGGTGCAAATGAAAGTTGGGACCCTTAGGCATGCTTGACTGAAAAATCCAGGTGGGGTATAGCACGGATTTTTTTTAAATTGATCCAAAGTTGGGGGCCGGCACCCTACCCTACCCTAACTTTCAAAGTTTATAAAAAAAATTCTGAGGCAATACTTTTTTCCACACTAGGTGCAAATGAAAGTTGGGACCCTTAGGCATGCTTGACTGAAAAATCCAGGTGGGGTATAGCACGGATTTTTTTTTAAATTGATCCAAAGTTGGGGGCCGGCACCCTACCCTACCCTAACTTTCAAAGTTTATAAAAAAAATTCTGAGGCAATACTTTTTTCCACACTAGGTGCAAATGAAAGTTGGGACCCTTAGGCATGCTTGACTGAAAAATCCAGGTGGGGTATAGCACGGATTTTTTTTTAAATTGATCCAAAGTTGGGGTCCGGCACCCTACCCTACCCTAACTTTCAAAGTTTATAAAAAAAATTCTGAGGCAATACTTTTTTCCACACTAGGTGCAAATGAAAGTTGGGACCCTTAGGCATGCTTGACTGAAAAATCCAGGTGGGGTATAGCACGGATTTTTTTTTAAATTGATCCAAAGTTGGGGTCCGGCACCCTACCCTACCCTAACTTTCAAAGTTTATAAAAAAAATTCTGAGGCAATACTTTTTTCCACACTAGGTGCAAATGAAAGTTGGGACCCTTAGGCATGCTTGACTGAAAAATCCAGGTGGGGTATAGCACGGATTTTTTTTTAAATTGATCCAAAGTTGGGGGCCGGCACCCTACCCTACCCTAACTTTCAAAGTTTATAAAAAAAATTCTGAGGCAATACTTTTTTCCACACTAGGTGCAAATGAAAGTTGGGACCCTTAGGCATGCTTGACTGAAAAATCCAGGTGGGGTATAGCACGGATTTTTTTTTAAATTGATCCAAAGTTGGGGGCCGGCACCCTACCCTACCCTAACTTTCAAAGTTTATAAAAAAAATTCTGAGGCAATACTTTTTTCCACACTAGGTGCAAATGAAAGTTAGGACCCTTAGGCATGCTTGACTGAAAAATCCAGGTGGGGTATAGCACGGATTTTTTTTTAAATTGATCCAAAGTTGGGGGCCGGCACCCTACCCTACCCTAACTTTCAAAGTTTATAAAAAAAATTCTGAGGCAATACTTTTTTCCACACTAGGTGCAAATGAAAGTTGGGACCCTTAGGCATGCTTGACTGAAAAATCCAGGTGGGGTATAGCACGGATTTTTTTTTAAATTGATCCAAAGTTGGGGTCCGGCACCCTACCCTACCCTAACTTTCAAAGTTTATAAAAAAAATTCTGAGGCAATACTTTTTTCCACACTAGGTGCAAATGAAAGTTGGGACCCTTAGGCATGCTTGACTGAAAAATCCAGGTGGGGTATAGCACGGATTTTTTTTTAAATTGATCCAAAGTTGGGGTCCGGCACCCTACCCTACCCTAACTTTCAAAGTTTATAAAAAAAATTCTGAGGCAATACTTTTTTCCACACTAGGTGCAAATGAAAGTTGGGACCCTTAGGCATGCTTGACTGAAAAATCCAGGTGGGGTATAGCACGGATTTTTTTTTAAATTGATCCAAAGTTGGGGTCCGGCACCCTACCCTACCCTAACTTTCAAAGTTTATAAAAAAAATTCTGAGGCAATACTTTTTTCCACACTAGGTGCAAATGAAAGTTGGGACCCTTAGGCATGCTTGACTGAAAAATCCAGGTGGGGTATAGCACGGATTTTTTTTTAAATTGATCCAAAGTTGGGGTCCGGCACCCTACCCTACCCTAACTTTCAAAGTTTATAAAAAAAATTCTGAGGCAATACTTTTTTCCACACTAGGTGCAAATGAAAGTTGGGACCCTTAGGCATGCTTGACTGAAAAATCCAGGTGGGGTATAGCACGGATTTTTTTTTAAATTGATCCAAAGTTGGGGTCCGGCACCCTACCCTACCCTAACTTTCAAAGTTTATAAAAAAAATTCTGAGGCAATACTTTTTTCCACACTAGGTGCAAATGAAAGTTAGGACCCTTAGGCATGCTTGACTGAAAAATCCAGGTGGGGTATAGCACGGATTTTTTTTTAAATTGATCCAAAGTTGGGGGCCGGCACCCTACCCTACCCTAACTTTCAAAGTTTATAAAAAAAATTCTGAGGCAATACTTTTTTCCACACTAGGTGCAAATGAAAGTTGGGACCCTTAGGCATGCTTGACTGAAAAATCCAGGTGGGGTATAGCACGGATTTTTTTTTAAATTGATCCAAAGTTGGGGTCCGGCACCCTACCCTACCCTAACTTTCAAAGTTTATAAAAAAAATTCTGATTTTTTTTTTAATTGGTAATATAATTAATTAGTTATGTCCTTGCACACCATACTTTGATTACTAAAAATAAACCCTGCGTGTCATCAAAACTAAGCGAAACCCATTGTTACTGAAAAAGAATGATTCGCTAAAACAGATTTGTTTGACATGAAAGTATTAAAAGTACGAACTAAACTTTGTATTCTCGTAGCGTAGAAATATTTTTACTTTTTATGAACTATTTTACAGGATGCCGAGAATATGGAAAGCTATTTCACACAATATCGCACAAACATTTTCTGATGGCAAAGTCGATACCATGTAACAAGAAAATTTAGGCAACATTTAAATTATGTCATTTTTGAGTGTTGACAGTTGAAGTGAAGTCTTAAAGCGTGCAGCACCTGCACGATGTTAAAAGCACATACTATTGTTTTTTTAAAATATTGAACAGGAAATGAAATTTTCATATTGAACAGGAAATGAAATTTTCAAATACATTGAAAAGTGTTTTCGACGGCTAAATTGAAGTTAAAACAGATATTGTAGTGGTAATATAAAATTAAAAAGTTTTAGTTAGTTTGAATCTTATGCAACTTTTGGGTTTATAGACATACCTGAAAACTGGCTGCTAGCGGAGTGGCTGCTAGCGAGTGGCTGCTAGCTTGAGTCTAGCTCTGATGCTGATGATTTTAGAGAAACAAAAGCAAAAAGGCCAAAAAACCGCGTTTCAATTGGATAATTTTTCTAATACCATTGAAAAACAATACTTGTTTCGCTTTCCTTGTCATTGTATATTGCGCCTGGAATGGCCTTTTCTCGACAAATTTATATAAAGATGTTCTGAAGTGTTTAAAAATGTATGTTCATTTACATGATTGATGCTAAAAAAAACCTGTTATTTAAATTTGTTCTTAGTTATTTACAACAACAATAAAAAAAAAACTACACACCTTGTATTTCATATTTCCACCCGGCTAGTCGGCTTGACTTGTCGTTTTCTCAATTATTGCACATATGTGTCTATTAAACTTGAAACACCATTTCTCTTGACTTTGTGGTTTTCGTTGATGTTATAGACTGAATGGAAATGAAATAATATGATATTAAATCGAATTGAATTTTTGTCATAAATCAAAATTCATTATTTATGGAGAAAAAGTTTTTTTTTTTTTTTTACTATTGCATTAAAATGAATTGTAAATTTGGTGCGTCCGAAGCGCTTTTCTGGATTAACCTTCATTGGAAACGTTCAAAACCAAAATTTTATGTTTTACTACTTGAATACGTTAGGAACTTATAACCGAAAGAGACTTAAATAATGTAAATGGAAAAGCCAAAACAATAGAAGATCAACTTTGTCTAAGGGAGTAGTTAGCACCTTGGTTTCTTAACTAATTTTAAATTTATCAACGACGAATTTAAGAAATGCGTGTTATAAATCAAGAAAGAACAGAACTGATTATACATTTACCCTACGGGACTAACAGACTGCACGCAGCGGTATAGACCCAAATGCTTGAATATGAAAACACCACTTCATAAATGTACTAGCATGAAGACTCAATGGAAGTCATAATTCATGTAAACCCAATAAAATTGTATTTGTAATGTATCTAATATTTTTTGCATAATTCAGAATACGGGTTCCTAAACAATTTCTCATCATGATTAAGTATGATTTTGAAAATTAACGAATAAGTGATTTTAACATAACCACGTGATTTATAATGAACCAATTATAACAAGTAAGATATCACCATTTTACTGTATCAATCTGATTCAAACTTTTATTTCCCAATCTGTTTCAAATATATCTTCAGTTATAAGGGTAAACTAGATGCTTTACGTTTGTAAAATAGATAACATTTTCTATGAATGAAAAGAGTTAAAGATATGTAGGTCAATCAGACACCAACCCACTATAAAATAAGGAGATGTGGTATGATTACCAATGACACAACTATCCACCAGAGACCAAATGGCGTAGATGTCACCGGATGGCCTTTAATTATAAGCAAATCCAATATTACACAGCAAGCTATAAAAGGCACCGACATGACAAAATGTAAAACAAATCAAACAAAATCACCATCCTGTTTACTGGACAAAAAAATAAAACGAAAAACAAATATGTTATACGCCATCAAAAGACGACCACTGAATTTTAGGCTCCTGACTTGGGACATGCACCTAACAGTATGTGGCGGGATTGAACATATTTGCCAAACCTACCCCTAACACAGGCAATTGTTTCTATCCATGGGAAGGTCGACTATCCTTATATCGACCTTCCCATTGGGTAGAAACAATTATATATGGATAGTCGACCTTCCCATGGATAGAAACAACAGACTTGTGACCCCCTAATCTTGGACAGTGGTGTAACAACACAACATACGAACAACGTATAAAATAAATTTAAGAATAATAATAGATTTAGTGTAAAAGCGTCCTATTTGTTGTTATCTTTAGTATAGGGGTTCCCATTTGAAACTGAAATATCAAAATTTAGGAAAAGGCAGTTATTGTTGTTTATATTAGATTTGTTTAAAGTAGGTTTCCTTTGGTGAATTTTGGCAGTATAAGGTATGCTTTGTTTTGTTTTGTTTTGTTTTTTTTTTGTTCCACTTGGCAATGTATTTACTTTTTTATTACAATGATTCCCGTTTACAGATGATGATAATATTGGTACTAATTGCCGTAGTGTCATGTCAGGGAGACGTTTGGGAAGAACTATTTTCGGTTGATAGCCTTGAACCTATCAGTTTGGATGTGTATTCTGAAATTCCGGTAAGTACCTTAAATAATGAAATGGTTTATCTGACAAATGCGATACGTTTAATCTTTTCCCTCTTCATTATTACAAACAAGACGAAGAATAGACGCAATTAAAGATGTATCACACACGAAAAAAAGATCTAAAAAATATAATAAGGATGTGTGGGGTATACGTCAAGGAGACAGCAACCCAACAACAAACTACCGAAAAGAATAACATACAATGTGCCTTGTAAAATAGACCAAGAGTTTTACTTAATGTGTTTCTTTTTAAAAAAAGAACTTACAGTTACATATGTAGTAAATATAAAACTAGAGAACCAACGGCCGGACTTATGACTAAACAATACACGTTTAAAAGCAAAACATAAGAACAAACTGTAACACTCAGTTGGAAATACCTTAACTCATTAGATCGTCACGAACATACCATTTTTTTTGTAAATAAACAACTTACATTAAAGACAAAAGACACAGATTTCCGATTTTAAAGTATACTCGCTACTGAAAGCTTGTTCAAAGTCAAAAACAACTAATAAACTAATCTGTTTCTCCAAGAATGGTCTTCCTAATCTCACATAAGGGTTTTCAATGATGACTACTTGAAACCTCGGGAAAATGATGTGTCTGTCTTTGAACTTATAACGCGAATGTCTTATAGATTTTATCTAATGATATTGACAGTAAAGACTCGTTTTAGTTCTGGTTGTCATTCGATGTAAAATTCTATAAAAAAAGAAGAAAAAAGATGTAAAACTTGTAACAATGTATCAAACATGTCATCAACAGCAATGTGTAGCAGAGAAAAGTATATTTATTGATCTTTATTGATAATTGGAAATCTATAAAGAACACCAGTAGTTCACTTTTTCTATTTGCATTTACTCACGTTTTACTTCCCGATTGTTACGCTCTTAGTCTAACAAAAAGCAGACAACTATACATAAAAGATGAGATTGTTCTAAACCGGGAAATTATCTTATAAAAGGAAATTATGTCTACTGAAAAACTGATTGGTAGAGTTGTAAGTTCTTATATTTATAATTTAGGGAAATATTAATTGGCAGCAATCTAATATTTATAATTTAGAGAAATATTAATTGGCAGCAATCTAATATTTATACTTTAGGGAAATATCAAATGGCAACAATCTAACAGAAGTACAGCTGTGACAGCAAAAGCAAAGTTATACCAAAAAGGAACAGAAGATATACCTAGTGATCTTCTTTCCAGTCAATGCAGAATAGACACCGAAATAAAAGCGGGAAAAATTACTGTTAAAATATTTCCTAACATCCAGGAGCCCAAATTCACCAGTTACCAACTAAATGGCGGATTTCCATTATTATACAGCTACTTTCTGACATTATGTATATTGGCATCAGTCCATGGATGGCAGATCGCTGTCACATATGGGGTTCTTCTGTCCGCAATGTTCACATTTGCTAATGTGTGTTTAGCTAACATTACACGTATAGATATAGTTGTGGAATATCCAGAGTGAGTGCTTTCATTTCTTTAAGAATGCAATTTTTAAAAATTCGTTGTCATTTCGAATCTCAGTCACAGCTACAATAAATAATCAAAGACATTTACTAAATAATGTTCAATGTAAATCATTGACAGCAACAAACTTCGTTTAATACAATTTGATTTTTGAATCATTCAATTCGAGGTTTTTCAAATGATTGTGAAGGAAACAAAAAATAAAGAAACATTTTTTATCTCACGGAAACATGACATTTATCTTTGTTATATTACTTGTGCCTTTGTTTATATCAACAGGAATGAGACGAATACTGTTCAAATAAAAAGCGCTGCGTCTTTTTTAAATTATGACCCCTTGCTTCTTTAAACTGGGGATGAAATAACGTTTATGATGTAGCTAGGTGTCTTCTTTATCTATAGATCAGTCAAATATAACTAGAACATCGGCAATGTAATTGTGTGCCTACTTTTTCCTAGTTAATAGACATTTATTATGTGATATTATTCGTTCGTTTTGATTAGATATTGAAGTCTTATACACAAACGCAAACTCTAAATCATTAACATAAGTACAAAAGTTTTTCATATTTACACTATTCGTACTTAAAAACAAAACAAAAAGTTAATTGACTTCCTGATCCGACCTTAGATACTGATTTTTATTTCTTTTTGTTTTTACAGAACCGTTCAGTTTAATAAGATCAACGTGTTCATGAAGAATGGTAATATAACATTACCAGAGAGTGTAACATATAATTCCATCGTTGATTGTTCAACAGACCATACCTACAATAGATCAGGTAATTTGTCATACCAGGAGGATGATACGCTTAAAAGTCGTTACAGATTACCACTTAATAATCATATTCAGTTGAACTTATGTTTAAATGGTTCACCAAATGTTCTGAACTACTTCGGCATTCAAGGTTCTATGTAAACTTTTGGGAGACTGTACTCTCTCTCTCTCTCTCCCTTTTATGTAGCTATGCTAAATTTCATACAAATGAAACACTGAACATCTTTTTAAGAAACGTGAGAGTTCTAATTCAATAATCTTGAACTACATACAAATCAATTATAAACAAAAGAGCAGATATATATATATATATATATATACATAAGTACGTCTGAACCAGTGACGACTCTACAACAGATTTTATCCATCGGATCACCAGTAGTGATGGTGATACAAGGCTGAAAAAAAATACATTCCTGTAAAATATATATATACAATTAAATTTTAAACAAGTCTAAATTGAAAACAACGTTCAAACCTATGATTGCGTTGGATAAAAACCGCAATTTTTATACGTGTGCATGCAAAACAAATGTCTTGTTAGAGGGGTCTAAATACAGCACAAACAACATTTTCCAAAAGACTAAAAAAGTGAAAAAGTATATTTTAACAAAACGCATTTGACTAACTGGTCGAACAACAAACGTTCTTAAACCCTGCTGACTGCCATTGGCGATTGCCAAATAAACGGATCACCGGTGTAATAAATGGATCTTAATTATAAATTTAATACTAAACAGAAAACAATAAACTTGCGGAAAAGATGATAAACCGCAAACAAAAGGTGCAAAGGTTTTTGTACACCATATGCAGGATGGTGCAAGTCGTGTGGTAACAGACGATGTCTGACTTGCCAACAAATATTGAATACTCAAACATTTACTTGCCACTCCACTGGGTCTGTGTACACTATATTTTGTAATGTAACTTGCAAAACACAGAATGTTGTATACCTTCTTCAGTGTCGATGTGGCATGCAGTATATTGGCGAGACAGAACAGCCATTCAACAAACGCATGAATTGTCATCGAAGTGACTACACCTGCAAGCCCGACAGAGTATTCAGTATTTGTTTGCTAGTCAGACATCGTCTGTTACCACACGACTTGCACCATCCTGCAGTTGAACCGCTTTTATTAGAGGAGACGTCAGCTCTCACAAATAAGTCTTTCAGACTTGCTGGTCTCCGAAAAGCTAAGACAGGAGGTTTGGGAAAGATCTTGGATAATTTTGGGTGCTTGGCAATAATTTGCACGGATCAAACGTGAAAGGTTAGTAAAACCTCCTGTCTTAGCTTTTCGGAGACCAGCAAGTCTGAAAGACTTATTCGTGAGAGCTGACGTCTCCTCTAATAAAAGCGGTTCAACTGCAGGATGGTGCAAGTCGTGTGGTAACAGACGATGTCTGACTTGCCAACAATGCGTCAAAGAGACAACCCGACCAAAGTGCAGAAATCAGCCTACACTACCAACGGGTCTTCAATAAAGCGAGAAAATCCCGCACCCGGAGGCGGGCTTCAGCTGGCCACTAAACAATAATGTATACTAGTTCAGCGAAAATGGACGTCACATTAAACTCAGAAACATGTTAGTATGTGATTCAAACTTGGTAGAAATATAGTTCCGAAATCATCCTCCGCATCTTATATACATGATTGGAGAATGGTAAATTGCAAAGAGATCAAAAGACAAGCATAATAATAAAAAAAAAGAACAAACATACTATTTGAATAACGTAATTGTTTCTTTGAACATCAATCTCAAGTTAATCGTGTGTAAAATTATTTACATTTTAGGATGTATATCCTGTTGTCATGGAAAAGGCGTTTGTGGTATTGGAAATAAATGTTATTGTAAAGAAGGACACGAAGAACGAACACATTGTAGTGAGTATATAGAGTCTGCTTGCTAAAAACGAATTAAATGCAAAAGAGTTATCGTTTTTATTAACTCACTTTAATGCGTTTTGAGTTGGATTTTCCCATTTATAACGAACTCATTGTATTGAGATTATAAATTGAATTAATGATTTATTTATATTGAACCCACTGTAAACACATTGTATAACGAACACATTGTTGTGGGTAAATATCTTTCCAGTATTGAATGAACTCACTGTAAACACATTGTATAACGAACACATTGTTGTGAGTAAATATCTTTTTGGTATTGAATGAACTCACTATAAATTGTATATATACTCGTTTATAACAAACGAATTGCAATGCATACAGAACTCGGTATATAGGGAGTATAGAATCTGTCCATTCAAAACGGGACAAACGGTATCAAATATCAAACTATGTCTTTTAACAAACGCGGTGTAGAACAGTAAGACGATTCCACAGGTGGCATGCAACTGAAACGAAAGCCACACGACGACACGACCAAAAATTAAAGAAAACTGAAGATTCAGCAACACGAACACAACAAAAACATAGAGATAAACCAAAGTGTATGGGATGGGTAGGCAGTGCCTGCTCACATACTGACACACTTCTTATTTGGTGTAAAATCAAAATGGAAAACAATAACAGTTATATATATTCATAAATTATAAATATGTATTCGTATTCAGTGGCAATTTATCATATCTGTGGTCATCAACGGTCAACTAAATCATGATTACGCCAATCGATAAAAGTGAGAATGCAGCTCCTATATAATTGATAATCTGCTCGTTCATATATTACGATTTCCTTTTGCAATAAATAGATTATCTTCTCAGTTACAAGGAACGCCTTTTAGTGAGTATAGGATATGTTCGTTTTTAACAAACTTACTGTATTGACTTGCGTTGAAATTATATGTCCTCACTACTTTAGAAGTGCTTATATATTTTTTTTCAGAAATGAAGAAGACACCTCGTCATACAATTTTTATCAATACCGTCGACCAAAGAATAATTCATGTTAATCTTCCAACTAATCAAAACATCACAGTATATGGAAAAAGAGACATGAATGGAAGTGTTAGGTCTTTGAAAAGTTTCCGGTCACATGATCAGTATGGAGTTTCATCTAATATAGTAATGGGAAAACTACGCAAAATATCAAGAATTGTCTCCTCTTCAGGGACAACAATTTCATATGACTGGAAAACAAGATGCTCTGTGCACGTGACCGTTATTTTCAACAAAGGCCAAGGCCAAATTGACCAGGATATAACTGTCTGTAAAATGAAGCCAAAGCAGGAGAAAGTTGAATTAGAGGACAATAAAGAGACACAAAATATATTACCGTCTAGTGTTGAAGAGAAAAGAAACATACAAAGGAGATCAAAGAACGTCATCAATCATCATCATAAAGGAGATTCTATCAAAATTCCAGTGGAAATTAAAAGTTGCAACGAACCCGATTCGTCTGCTGAAGTTTCTGCAAAAATAACTGCAGCAAATCATTCCGAAAATATTATACAAAACGATTTTCTGGGGTCATTGACGTCTCACCCTGGACTTTATCACATCAGGATACCGGTTAAACCTGTACATCAGACAGACAGTCAGGAATCAGCTGTTTGCCAAACCTTCATCCATTCAACAAATCATCTGTGTAAATATGCATCTTCAAACTATTATAAATTTCAACGTCATATTTGCAAGCAAATAAAATCGTCAATAAAAGTAATGTCAGGAGTATCATTTTCACAAGTAGGTGACGTCATCACAACATGTGAATCGAGTTTTCAAACTGTCATATCATTTTGCAAAGAGTTTTATACAAACATTGAAAATAATTGCAATAGAGATTCTATAATATTTTATGATTCATTCGTTTCTGGAAATGTTTCCGTACAAATCATTGCTACATTTCCAGGAAATTATTCAGTTTACTCGGAACGCTTTGATTTGAAGGTCAAAGAGGATTCGCCTTTTCCGGTGTCAATGAAGAAAATAAACGACATACGCCCAAAACCAAGATTTATAGGCTTTAGTGTAAATCCAAGGGATCCAAAGCCTTTTCAACGGTATAACGTTAAAATAAATTACGCGTGTGCATCATCTACCACAAAACTTGACATGCGTATTGAAGGAAGTGATAATTACCATAGCAACATTACTTGCAATGGTGTGACACAATGTAACTGTTGTATATTACATGTTGCCGGTGCTGCAGCACATGTTATGGACAAGGTTTTGGTCACTCTTAACGACCCTCTGACGCAGACAATTACCACAAGAGAAATAGCCGTTCTGTTTTGATATAAAACTGCAAATAAAAGTATTGTTGTTATAAATTTTATTTTGACTTCAATGGATTGACATGCACCACTTAAATTCACTTAACAGTCTTGTTTTATATATGAAAAAAACCTATGAAATTGAAAATATGACGAAGGGAGTGGGTGACAATTCAAAATCACAATTTGAAAAACGATTGATTAATTGATATTTGCTTAACGTTCAGTGGCAAATATTTATGCATATTCAAGACGAAAACAAATTAATAATTAATACAGGTTTGTTCTCCAAGGTATGGTTAAAAGGTATGAAGGGTGGTAAATTTGGACTGTCAATAGGCAAGTGGGGTATGTTGGGTAAGGCAAATGTTTTGCCTTGCAACAAGCCACCTAAAGACCAGTCAGAGAGTTGTTGCAAGGGTTTTTTTTAACCTGTATAGAGCGTTTCATTAAACGAGGCACCAGATTTAACGTCCCCATTCCATACGGACGTGGCTGCGTATTTATACATCCCTCACAGACAAACGGACGCCCAACTTTTGCAAGGGTTTCACTGCCAGACGGGAACAGTCTTTGGATGATCAAAGTTCCATCCCCCAGTCAACCCTTTGGTTCCTGAAAAAGGACTAACAAACACAATGACCACATGAAAAAAGACGAAAAGAAAAATAAAAGTCCACAACCTACAGAAAAACTTAAAACTGAATACCGCAAACCCCATCAAAAATCCGAGGAGAACTCGGGAGTGGTCGGAAAGTAAACAGTAAGTAATCTTATTTCTAGTACACTGCAGCGAAAGCCTAGAGTGGATATTGATGTTGATCAAAGAAGCTCGTACAAACTATACTTAATTACAACGGGGAGAGATCGACAGTTTCAAGAATATTATACTCCTCTAGAATGCACTAACTGCTTACCATTCCGGATATCCTGAGGTCAACCTCGGTTTTGAGTTGGTTTGTGTCGTTCAGTCTTTAGTTTTCAGTTTGGTTTTGCTGACTTGTAAGTCTTTTCGTTTATTTTTTTGCCATTATGTTGTATTTTTTGCCATTATGTTGCATTTTTTTGGCATTGTGTTGTATTTTTCGGCATTATGTTGTATTTTTGCCATTATTTTGTATTTTTTGGCATTATGTTGTATATTTGCCATTATTTTGTATTTTTTTGCCATTTATATTTATGTTACATATTTTGTGGCCATTATATTGTATTTTTTTCGACTTCTGGTTTTTGCTTGCCCCTTGGTATCTTTCCTTTCATTTTATACTTGATGTCAAATGGTACATACGTTATCAAGAAACCTAGAATTGATGTCAAATGGCACATACGTTATCAAGAAACCTAGAATCGATGTCAAATGGTACATATGTTAATCGATGTCAAATGGTACATACATTATCAAGAAACCTAGAATTGATGTTTTTAGTTTAGTTTAAACATATTGTATTTGCATAAACAAAAATTGGATGAGACACAAGTCAAACAGACATATGAAGTCTTCTCCATTTAACATGTTTAACAATACAATATAGAGCATGCATACATGAGATATTATTTCAACATTTGTATAAATTGGACAGAAAAATTAAGTGGCACAAAAGTAGTAGTAGAGGAAAAAAAATTAATAGAACACAAAAAACAACGGGAAATGAATTAATAAAAACAAAAAACAAAAAACAAAAACAAAAAACAAAAAAAAAACAAAAAAACCAGCTGAACTTAGATGATGATGTGTGTGTGGTCATGTTTTACTATCTAAACAATAAGGAATCTATTCGACCCTCTAATAAACTCCAACACATATTTTAAGATATTTTCATTTTGCTCCTGAGTAAGTAGACTACTGACCGAGGTTAACAGTTCTATATTTAATGGACAGTTATTTGGGAGTATTAAGATCAGATTTTCTAAAAGCTTACTTCGTATTTCTGAATATAATATACATTTAAAAAAGAAATGATGCGAATATTCGCAATACACACCGCAGCGGCAAAAAGGATCAGAAATAATATTAACTCTAGACAGATCATAATTTAGGAAGAAAGCAGAACATCGAAGTTGAGTAAGCACAATGTTGAGTTTACGACTTCCAAACTCATATTGTTTCGGCATGTATATATTACTATTGGGATTTAAGTTTTTTAGTTTCGTTTTAAATTTTCCGATTGTATCTGCTTCACGGGTTGAAGTATCGAGGTCATTCCATAGACGTATAGTTGATGGTATAAATGATTCATTAGTTAATGCAAGTCTGCGGAACGGAAGTATTATATCGTTACCATTGCGTAGTGCATAAACAGTCATACTTTGGATTGTTGGTGGAATTAAATAACTCAAATATTCTGGTACATTATTTTGTGTAATATTATAAAACATTTTAATTTTTTTTTCCTTCTCTTTTTTCTGCCAACGTTTCACACCCAAGTTCCTTGTAAATTACCCTTGAGCTTGTAAAAATAGGTAAACCCGTTACTAATCAAGCAGCTTGAAGCTGTAATTGCTCCAGCTTATTAATATTACCCAATCCCATATTATCCCAAACTTCACTGGCATATTCAAATAAAGGTCTTATATAACTAGATATGGTTTTTCTAAATTTTTCTACTAAGTCTATATTTCAGTTTCCTAAGCATACTTTATTATATGTTTAGATACACTTAAGATAATATTGTCAATATGAACATTCCATTTAGCATCATTGCTAAATGTGACCCCTAAGTGTTTATGAATATTAGTTACTGGTATGTTTTTTTTTTTTTTCATTAAATGTAAAATTAATTTCTGGGATGTCAACATTTGAAAATAACATAATTTCTGTTTTATCAGGATTAAAAGATATTAGCCACTTTTTAGACCATTCGTTCAGCTCATCCAGGTCGTGATTTATAACAGATTCTATCTGCAATGCATCGTGATCTGCACAGCTGAACGACGTGTCATCTGCAAAGAGTTTGCAGAGAGAATAAAGCGTTTCCGCAATGTCATTTATGTAAATTATAAAAAGCAATGGTCCGAGGACAGACCCTTGTGGAACCCTGGCAGAAATATTGCAAAGTTTTGAAGAAGACTGTTTAATAATCACTCTTTGTTTTCTATCATTCAGATAGCTTTTAAACCATTTTAATAGATTAACATTTATACCATAAGCCTTCATGTTATGTATAAGTGTAACAGCCACTATGTTCCGGCAGTTACTTTGTTCCGGCGGAACTTTTCAACTAGTTATTTCGTTCCGACGGAACTTTCCAACTAGTTGATTTATTCCGAGTGCAGTTGAAAAGTTCCGGAAAAAAGTAGCTAGTTGAAAAGTTCCTGAACATTGTAGCTAGTTGAATAGTTCTGGCGGAACAAAACAACTAGTTACATCGTTCCAGAAAAAATCAGCTAGTCAATTTATTACAGCATATCATAATAACTTTTTAATACACTCGGTATAAACCAACTAGTTGGAAAGTTCCACCGTAACAAACAATTAGTTGGACAATATGTACTTCATAGTTATGTATATCAAATGAAAACTAAAATGTGTTACTGAAAAATGAACGTGTGCCCACTTTGCTTTAATAACACATTGTATTAAAGATATTGAATAAATGCAAGGGAAATATCATATTTAATATCAGATTCAACACTAGTAAACAAGTCAAATCATTTTCAGAAATGTTCATACATGCTGTTCTTTCTAACATTTCTTTTTCTTTTTGGTCTAGATGGACCAGGTTGCGACTCTAGCAAAAATTGCGCAACTTCGTTCAATTCTATATCTGTTTGACTTTCATCATCTTCTTGGAATTGAAACGTGTCCTGAGTTTTGAATACACTCTCTTCCTCATCTTCGTCATGTGCATCCACATGATCATCATCATCTTCAACATCATCCTTATCGTCATTATCATCATCCTCATCGTCGTCGTCGTCTTCGTCGTCATCGTCATCATCATCATCATCATCATCATCAACGTTTTCATCATCGTCATCAACGTTTGCATCAGAATCAACGTCATGCTGCGTTCACACGTAATACGAATTCGATTCGCATTAACTAATTCGAATTAGTTTAATTCGCATTCGAATCGTTTTACGTCCAAACGTTAATTCTAATTCGAATTGCAATACGCGTCAAATTTGCTTTACTGTCCGAACGACGTTAACTTTTAATTCGTATCAACAAAAACGGATTTCTAATGCGAATTGGTTAATGCGAATTAGCCAATTCGAATCAATTCGAATTAAAAAAGAAGAGTGTGTGAACGCGATTAGCGAATTCGATTCGCATTCGATTCGAATTCAATTCGAATTAAATGTACGTGTGAACTAGGCATCAGTATCGCAATTCTCATTGTCGTCGTCCTTTTCGTTGTCTCTTTCGTGCGCGATTTCCTCACCTTCGCTGCATGTACTAATATCTTCATCGTACCACTTTTTTAGATTTCTCTGATTGTATGGTCCAATCGTAACATCCTTTTCGTCATCGAACATAGAATAGTTACCTTTACCATTGTACTTGGTAACCTCGTATGGTCCTTTATATCTCAGTTGTTGTACGGTAGCCATACCTGCCTTTCTCCTAAAGTTTTTTAATAACACTTTGTCCCCTACAAGGTACAGTTTATTCTCAACTTTGTGTCTTACGTCATAACTTTCCTTTTTCTTTTGTTGAGCCTTTTTTACGTTCTTTACCACATCTTTGCTTATTTTGTCCTTAATTTTAATCATCTGATTAACTGCTCCTTCTATGTCTTGTTCATCGTGATTAGATTGTGTGTTTTTAAATTCAGATTCATTTGGTAAGACTGGTTGTCTCATGAACAACGACATAGAAGGGTGAGTATTGGGTAGAGTGGTGCTTCGAAGTTCTGTAATGAAAAAGGGCCTCCTCTAAATACAAATCCCAATCTTCTCCATTTTTATCAATCATTTTATTCAGCGTGTTTTTCAAAGTTTGATTAAACCGCTCAACCATTCCATTTGACTGTGGATGGTAGGGAGAAGTCGTAACATGCTTAATACCGTAACTTTTAGTAAAGTTCTTCGTTATTTTACTATTAAATTCTCCA